CTTTAATTCCCAAACTAAAGTCGGATGGAATATATTTCACTTTGACTAGAAGGTGGATTATGGATTTTAAAGATGTTGAACTTTGTCTGAGTGATGACCACATTTTAAGAGTGAGAATCCCATCAGCGTTGGCCAACTTCCAAGTTACGAGTGGAATAATGGGCATGCAAGTACATCTCTCAGGACTGGGGTAAACCAGTCTTCGCAAGGTCCATTTACAACCTGCTTCCACCTTTCACTAACAAAGCTAGGGGAACCTGTGGCTTAGAGGTTAATAGGTAAAGGTTCCCCTCGCACATATGTGCTAGTCATTCCCGACTCTAGGGGACGGTGCTCATCTCCATTTCAAAGCCGAAGAGCCAGCGCTGTCCAAAGACGTCTCCGTGGTCATGTGGCCGGCATGATTAAATGCCAAAGGCACACAAAACACTCTTACCTTCCCACCAAAGGTGGTCCCTCTTTTTCTACTTGCATTTTTTACGTGCTTTCGAACTGCTAGGTTGGCAGAAGCTGGGACAAATAACGGCAGCTCACCCCGTTACGCAGCACTAGGGATTTGAACTGCTGAACTGCCGACCTTTCAATCAACAAGCTCAGTGTCTTAGCCACTGAGCTAGCAGAAATTTTGAGTAGTTCGGAGAACCAGTAGTGGAAATTTTGAGTAGTTCAGAGAACCGGCAAATGCCACCTCTGGCTGACCCCAGAGTGGGGTGGGAATGGAGATTTTGCAGTATCCTTCCCCCAGGAGTGGGGTGGGAATGTAGATTTTGCAGTATCCTTCCACTGCCACACCAGATGTGAGTTTCAGCAGGTTCTGACCAGTTCTGGAGAACTGGTAGCGGAAATTTTGAGGAGTTCAGAGAACCGGTAAATACCACCTCTGACTGGCCCCATCCCCATCTATTTTCTGCCTCCAGAGTCCCAGCTGATTGGGAGGAAATGGGGATTTTGCAGTATCCTTCCCCTGGATTGGGGAGGGAATGGAGATTTTACAGTATCCTTCCCCTGCCACGCCCACCAAGCCATGCCACACCCACCAAGCCATGCCCACAGAACGGTAATTAAAAAAAATTGGATTTCACCACTGACCCAATATCTCTATTTTAATGATGTATGTTATTTTCTTTCAACAACGGGGCTGTGATATTTGTAAAAGGGTTTAGGTTTTCATGCCAGCAGTTTCACTGGAATTGAAAAGTTTAAGAAGTGTCTTTATATCTAACCACACCATTATCCTGCATGGATGAACTTGTGAAAAAGCAAAGAAATTTGCGGAGCAAATTCATAGAAGGACGCCAAAGATATTGCAAAAGATTATGACAATGAAATAAACATGATTTCTTTGCGCCTTTGTGGATGCTGAACTGAAAAAGAAATACGGGGTGAGAAATAGTTATATAGTAACTGCAGCAATATTATTTATTGCACAAAGATGGAAAAATAATGAAACACCCACAATAAATTGATGAAGCTTGCTGCGGTGACAAAGCTGAACAATTTGGTCAGGAAAAAAATATTTTATAAAAGAATTGGAAGCCTTATATGTTGGGATTTTTGTTTTGTTTTGTTTTGTTGAAAGAAAAAAAAGATTGAATGGATGATTTATGAGTTTGAGTATTAAAAAGCTAAAAAGGGAAGGGGGAAAATTAAGATGTAAATTATTTAATGAAAAGAAGGACGGAAATCATAATTTGGTTGTCCTTTTTTATCCTTTAATCTTTTTTTCCTATTTTTCTTTAATTCTTTTAAAAATATATTTTTTTTAAAAAAAACTACATCTTGATTCACATATTAAAACTACTCCTGTATGCAGTTCAGGATGATTTTGTAGGAGAAAAAGAGTCACAACCTGGAGGAGGAGAAGGAGTCAAAAGAGGACTGTGCCTAATCATTATGTGTCCACAAATGTTTCAAATCCACCCCCTTGAATTCCATTGATTCTTATCTAGTGCCAGTTTAATGCTGACTGTAAAGAATAGAATAGAATAGAATAGAATAGAATAGAATAGAATAGAATAGAATAGAACAGAACAGAATAGAATTAGAGTAGAGTGGAATGGAATAGAATAGAATAGAATAGAATAGAATAGATAGAATAGAATAGAATAGAATAGAATAGAATGAAGAATTAGAGTAGAGTGGAATAGAATAGAATAGAATAGAATAGAATAGAATAGAATAGAATAGAATAGAATAGAATAGAATGAAGAATTAGAGTAGAGTGGAATGGAATAGAATAGAATAGAATAGAATAGAATAGAATAGAATAGAATAGAATAGAATAGAATGAAGAATTAGAGTAGAGTGGAATGGAATGGAATGGAATGGAATAGAATAGAATAGAATAGAATAGAATAGAATAGAATAGAATAGAATAGAATAGAATAGAATAGAATAGAACAGAACAGAACAGATAGAATAGAATAGAATAGAATAGAATAGAATAGAATAGAATAGAATAGAATAGAATTCTTTATTGGCCAAGTGTGATTGGACACACAAGGAATTTGTCTTGGTGCATAAACTCTCAATGTACATAAAAAGACAAGATACACTCGTCAAGAATCATAAAGTACAACACTTAATGATAGTCATAGAGAAACAGTCAATATAAATCGTAAGGACACAAGCAACAAGGTTACAGTCATATAGTCATAACTGGGAGGAGATGGGTAGTGGGAATGATGAGAAGGTGTTAATAGTAGTGCAGATTTAGTAAATAGTTTGACAGTGTTGAGGGAACTATTTGTTTAGCAGAGTGATGGCATTCGGGAAAAAACTGTCCTTGTGTCTAGTTGTTCTGGTGTGCAGTGCTCTATAATGTCATTTTGAGGGTAGGAGTTAAAACAATTTATGTCCAGGATGTGAGGGGTCTGTAAATATCTACAGCTGACCGTTGGTTGTGACTCTTCCCCGCAACCATTTCTTCTCCAGAATACTCTCTCTTACTTATAGTGCAGTGATGGCTAACCTTTTTCAGACCGAGTGCCCAAAGCACACTCCCAAACCCACAAAATGCAAGGCCCGTGTGTCCCCCATGCATGCACCTCCCTATGCATGTGTGTATGGCCCCTGCATGTACCCCACCCCTATGCATGCATGTGCCACCCCCTGCATGCGCCCCGCCCCTGCATATGTGCGTATGGCCCCCTCACATGCACCTCGCCCCCTCCCACATGCGAGGCAGAGGCCCGAAGAGCAGCTGGCCAGTGGGAAGCATGTGCACATGTGTGGCAGAGCTGAGCTGGGACGACAGCTCTGGCCCACACATGCCAGAGGTTCACCATCATGGTTATCAGCACTGTTTTCATCCAGTGAGATAGCCGCATCTCACAAATCTGACCCAATATCAAAGAGTTACATAGAACCGATCTGTTGTGATTCGCCAGCAGCCTGCGGAGCTGGCAGTGGAGTCAGACAGTGAGGAGGCTGGGGAGAAACATGGGCCAGTCCTGGAGTCAGGGGAAGGCCCGGGCGAGAGCTCTGTGTCAGAGGCAGAGATGGGGCCAGGGCCATCTGGAAGTGATGCACCGCCTCTGGAGCCTCCAGGGTCAGACAGCAGAGAGCAGAGGAACAGGAGGAGCCTGTTCCTAGTGCGTACATGCGCAGAGCTGCCAAAAGGCATGAACAGTTAAAACAAAAGGGATGACTCGGGAGTAAGGTCTGGAGATGATTGGCCCCTCCCATAAGACTTAAAAAAGGAGCAAAGGCACATGGGCACTTTGCAGGAAAGCAACGTTGTTAATTCTGTTCCCAGTCGGCATCTCTGTTTGATTCTGGACTCCATGTAGCTTTGCCAAGTAGGTCTTTGGCAGAGTGTCAAGGGAGATAAAGGCGGGTGATTATCCCGAAGGAATTCTCCCGAAGGACTTTTTTGCAATTAATCGGGACTCAGCTGTGAATGAACGTAATTCACAGCTGTTGCAATAAAGGAGGTTTTTGGGACTACTTGTGTGTTTTAATGACTCAGGAAGCCTAGGTCACAACATGATCAATACATTGAGGATGGACTACAGAGATTGCCAAAGAAAGCTGGGGAAACACGTTGCAGAAGAAGCTGAAGAAGAAACCAATTCCAATATTCTTTGCCAAGAAACATGGGTATATCCACCAAGTTATTAAGGTTCAAGCTGGACTCGTAGACCAATTGTGGTCATTCCTACCAGACTGATCCTTCAAAAGAGTTCTGGATGAGTCTGTGTGATTCCTCTCAACTGTTGTTGTTTTTTAATAAGAGCTCCTGGTTAGTGCAGTTCATGATATTGAGGCTCTAGATGTTGAGACTCTAGAAAGGGTACAGAGAAGAGCAACAAAGATGATTAGGGGACTGAAGGCTAAAATATATGAAGAACGAGCAACAAAGATGATTAGGGGACTGGAGGCTAAAACATATGAAGAACGGTTGCAGGAACTGGGTATGTCTAGCTTAATGAAAAGAAGGACTAGAGGAGACATGATAGCAGTGTTCCAATATCTCAGGGGGTTCCACAAAGAAGAGGGAGTCAAACTATTCTCCAAAGCACCTGACGGTAGAAAAAGAAGCAATGGGTGGAAACTCATCAAGGAGAGAAGCAACTTAGAACTAAGGAGAAATTTCCTACAGTTAGAACAATTAATCAGTGGAACAACTTGCCTCCAGAAGTTGTGAATGCTCCAACACTGGAAATTTTTAAGATGATGTTGGATAACCATTTGTCTGAAGTGGTGTAGGGTTTCCTGCCTGGGCAGGGGGTTGGACTAGAAGACCTCCGAGGTCCCTTCCCACTCTGTTATTCTATGATCCTACCTCCTAAATCTTTAGGGCACATTCAAAAAAATTCATAAGCAAGAATTAACTACTTCCCTGAATCATCCCACTGAAATCTCTTAGCTTGTTGAGAGTGATTTAATTGACAATCAAACTTTACCCAATGTAATGGGGCACCATTTGATTGGGTTGCCTTAGGCATAGCTGTATTTTTTTTTTTTTGCCTGCCTTTGAATCCAATTGACTTGACAGCTCACTCACTCACCGCTAAAAACATCATGCAGTACATCGCAAAGGAGGAATGCCCAGAATAGAATGACAATCTAGAAAGAGAAGAACAAAAAAGAAATATATAGATAAAAGGTAAATATAAAGGTTCCCTTCGCACATATGTGCTAGTTGTTCCCGACTCTAGGGGGCGGTGCTCATCTCCGTTTCAAAGCCGAAGAGCCAGCGCTGTCCGAAGACGTCTCCGTGGTCATGTGGCTGGCATGAGTCAACGCCAAAGGCGCATGGAACGCTGTGACTTTCCCATCAAAGGTGGCCCCTATTTTTCTACTTGCATTTTTTTACGTGCTTTCGAACTGCTAGGTTGGCAGAAGCTGGGACAAGTCACGGGAGCTCACCCCGTTACGCGGCACTAGGGATTCGAACCGTTGAACTGCAGATCAGACAAGCTGATCAGACAAGCTCAGACCCTTTCGATCGACAAGCTCACTAAGCCCCAAATTTCTGTTGCTACGTGAAACATCGGCTAAGCGAATTTTGCCCCCTCTTAACGACCTTTCTGGCCACAGCCGTTAAGTGAATCACTGCCCATCTTTAGGTTAGTAACACGGTTGTTAAGCGAATCTGGCTTCTCCATTGACTTTGTTTGTCGGAAGGTCGCAAAAAAGGGGACCGCATGACCCAGAGACACTGCAACCGTCGTAAGTACGAGTCAATTCGTCTGAATTTTGATCGTGTGACCATAGGGGAAATGCTGTAACGGTCGTTAAGTGTGGAAAGCAGTCACAAATCACTTTTTTCAATGCCGTTGTAACTTTGAAGAGTCACTCAATGAATTGTTGTAAGTCAAGATCAAAGGAGGTACTAATACCACTCTATAAAGCCTTAGTAAGACCACACTTAGAGTACTGCATCCAGTTTTGGTGGCCACAATGTAAAAAAGTTGTTGAGACTCTAGAAAAAGTGCAAAGAGCACCCGAGATGATGAGGGGACTGGAGGCTAAAACATATGAAGAACAGTTGCAGGAACCGGGCATGGCTGGTCTAGTGAAGAGAAGGACCAGGGGAGACATGATAGCAGTCTTCCAATATTTGAGGAGCTGCTACAGAGAGGAAGGGGGTCAAGCTATTCTCCAAAGCACCTGAAGGCCAGAGAAGGAATAATGGATGGAAACTGAACAAGGAGAGGAATTCAACCTGGGAATAAGGAGGAATTTCCTGACAGTGAGAACAATCAACCCATGGAACAGAAGTTGCCTTCAGAAGTTGTGGGAACTTCATCACTGGAAGCTTTCAAGAAGAGACTGGACTGCCATCTGTCAGAAATGGTATAAGGTCTCCTGCTTGGGCGGGGGGTTGGACTAGATGACCTACAAGGTCCCTTCCAGCTTCCAACTCTGTTAATCTGTATTCATTAAATATGATGAATCATTATTAATTAATTTTTGACGGTTTCCTGTTAATGGTTACCACCATCTATTTATAACTGCATTGATTTTAGAGTTGCCAGGAAATTCAGTTCATATTTACGTTCCTCTATTCCTGAAATAAAATAGGTGTTTTTTTTCCTTTTACGTATTTTGCCCTCTTGGGTGATGTTATATTTGAAATCTCCTTTTCGCACGTAGCTTTGGATGCGGATCAAATTTCTCCTGCAACGTTTGTGGCCTTTGCAAAAACAATAGAGGCAGTCCTCGACTTACGACCACAATTGAGCCCAAAGTTTGTGTCGCTAAGCGAAACATTTGCGAAGTGAGTTTTGGCCCATTTTACGACCTCTCTTCCCACGGTTGTTAAGTGAATCACTGCTGTTCTTAAGTTAGTAACAGGGTTGATAAGTGAATTCCCCATTGACTTTGCTTGTCAGAAGGTTGCAAAAGGGAATCACTGCAACTGTCATAAATGTGAGTCAGCTGTCAAGCAGCTAAATTCTGGGGATGTTGCAATGGTTGTAAGTGTGAAAAACGGTCATAAGTCACTTTTTTCAGTGCCACTGTAACTGAACAGCCACTAAATGAATTTTTGTAGTGGGTAACAACTTCTTCACATCAATGACCTGTTTGGACAGAAACAATATTGTGTGTGTAGCCATTGAGTGAGTAAATCCTCACAATTTTATAGACATTAATTAAGGGGGCAGTTTGATGCAGTGATTAAGGCAGCAGGATAGAAACTGGAGGACCATGAGTTCAAGTTCTGCCTTAGGCACAAAGCCAATTGGGTGACCTTGGCCGGCCACTTTCCCTCAGCCCTAGGAACGACGCAATGGCAAACCACTTGCCAAGAAAACAGCAGGGACATGTTCAGGCAGTCATTGGAGTCACAATTGATTCAAAAGACTCCAGAAAAAAAAGTTTAATAGCCAATGATGGAAACAGATAGTCCTCCTTTAGTGGCTGCCTCTTTTAGCGACCGTTCCGTTGCCACAGGGATGAAAAAATAACTTTACAAAAATCCTTGTATTCACAACCTTGGTGTAAAGCAAAGCTAAAATAAGAGTGTAAACACAGTCACAGTTTATTTTATTTATTTTAGAAAATTTATATTGCCGCCTACTCGCACACTAAGCTTCGCTTAATGACCAAATTCCAGGTCCAATTGTGACCACTAAACGAGGACCAGCTGTGTTATCTGTTTTCCTGAAAGAAAAATTCCAGGGAATATATTCGAGGACCCTCTGCATCACTGACAGCGTTGAACTTACCTGGATTCCGTGATGTTTCTGGAGTTGCCCTGGCACACGTCTTCCACATGGACGTAAAGCGAGCAATTCACTTTCGTCCAGTCTGGCTGACAGACAGCCAGGAAATTGGGCCGCAGACGGCCGATCGTGTACTTGGCCAAGTCAGTTAGCGACTGGCTGACGGCGCTACCGAACAAGAACGTCCCAACAACTTTGTAGAGGGCGGCCAGGTAATTGTTAAACTGGGAACGGGAGTACAAGCGTTCCGTGTAGACCAGGTAAGCCTCGCCGACTGAAATCTGAGGAGAAAAAAAAAAAAAAATGAAAGGGGAGATTCCCCTGGGACATCCATGATGCCCTCCCTCCTCACTCTCCAAACCCCAAATCTGATGGGTCGAACTTGTGAAGATGCCATTAGCTTTTTTTTTTTTTTGAATTTTTTATTTTTATTTTTAAACAAAACATAAAAAACATCCATCACACAAGTAGTGTATCTGTAGGTTACAAATCTTTTGTGCTTCATCTCATATTCATCATTTACTAATTCTCTAATTTCACATATTATCAATCTAACATATATCTTTATATCATTATTTTCATTTGTCATTCCTTTAACAAATGGCATTTTCATCCCATTAAAATCATTTCCATATATTGTATTATAACATCCATTTCATATTTCATTTCCATGTTTTATTATCTAGCCAATGATACAATAAATCCCATATCTTATAATATTGCTTGTCTTCCTGTTCTCTAATTTCAAATGTCAATTTGCTCATTTCAGCACATTCCATAATTTTCCTAATAACTTCATCTTGTTTAGGTATTTCCTTATTTTTCCAATTTTTAGCAAACACAATTCTAGCCATTGTCAATACATTGACAATCAGGTTAGAATAGAATCTATTCTATTCATTCTATATTCTATTCTATTTTATTCATTCTATATTCTGTTTTATTCTATTATTCTATTATTCTATTATTCTATTATTCTATTCTATTCTATTCCATTCCATTCCATTCCATTCCATTCCATTCCATTCCATTCCATTCCATTCCATTCCATTCCATTCCTCAAATGCAAAAAGGACCAATTGTGCTACAGGCAGTCCTTGGCTTACAACCATTCATTTAGGGACCATCCGAAGTCACAACAGCCCTGGAAAAAGCGACTTATGTCCGTTTTTCACACTTACGACCATTATAGCATTCCTATGGTCACGGGATCAAAATTCAGATGCTTGGTAACTGACTCATACTTATGACTGTTGCAGTATCCCGGGTGATCACGTGATCCCCTTTTGCGACCTTCTGTCAAACAATTTCAATGGGGAAGTCAGATTCACTTAACAGCCAGGTTACTCACTTACCAACTACAGTGATTCATTTAATGACCGTGGCAAGAAAATAGCAACAGCAATAGAACTTAAGACTTATATACCACCTCATGGTGCTTTTGCAGCCCCTTTCTACACGGTTTACAGAGTCAGCCTAATGCCCCCAACAATCTGGAAAAGTTATAAAATGGGGCAAAATTCACTTTATGAATGTCTCACTTAGCAACAGAAACTTTGGGCTCAGTTGTGGTCGTTTAAGTCGAGGTCTACCTGCACTTGGAAAATGAAATGGCGGATTCCACCCTTAAATTTTTCAGTTGGAGAACAAACTCTCTTACCCTGTTCAGCCACATCGAGTCGGAAACTTTAATTAAGTTTCTCATCAAGAAAAAGAGGGTGAAATTTAGAACGGCTGAAAAAAAAAACCCCCAAGCTTTTTTTTTTTTTTTTAAATTTGATTTATATGCCGCCCTTCTCCGGAGACTCAGGGCGGCTTACAATGCGTTAAGCAATAGCCTTCATTCTTTTGTATGTTTTATACAAAGTCAGCTTATTGCCCCCACAACTGGGTCCTCATTTCACCTACCTTAGAAAGGATGGAAGGCTGAGTCAACCTTGAGCCTTGGAGAGATTCGAACCAGCAGAAATTGCAGGCAGCTGTGTTAATTACAGGGTGCACTAAACCCCTGTACTATCAAGGCTACTATCAAGATAATTTTAAAATTATCTGCCAGTTCTTTGTTCACATCTCCAAACAATAGTAAAGTTCAGACGCTGCCATTAAATTGAAATGTTTAAGCTTCCTTTTGACACCATACAAACAATTAAACATACTGCTCCATCTCTTTTACTAACGTTATATTGAGCAATTATTGTATAACCTCAGGAATTACCTGCTCATTCTTACTTAATATCTCTTTTTTTGAGACTACACCTTTGATTTTAATCGGATAAAAGGATTATCACAAGACCAAACAAAGACTGAGGACTATTGATGTATTTTTTCAAAAAGAGGGAAATGAAAACCAACATTTATCTATCCCTGTATAGGCTCTATTATGCTAAATAACACAACATAAATAAATAAATAACATTTTAACTCTTTAATTAAAAAAGAAACTGGCTGCGGGTTATTTCTCCCTATACCAATTAACTGCACTTTTTAACCAATAAAACAATCTGCTTAATATAGTAAGATACTGGGAAGGACTGGGTGAAGTGGGGGGGGGGGGAGAAGATTGTACCCCAAAATAGCGGGTTTTGGTTAAGGAAAGAAACATATCCGCCCCTCACCTGATCTCTCAGAAGGTGGGCCAAGTAAAAACTACCCTGTTTCCCCAAAAATAAGACCCAATGGGAAAATAAGTCCTAGCATGATTTTTCAGAATGCTTGTAATATAAGCTCTACTCCCAAAAGAAGCCCCAGTTAAGATTGTCAGCCAGATGGATGCATTTAGTACTGTATTTTCCCCAAAAAGAAGTCCTAACCAGAAAATAAGCCCTAATGCATCTTTTGGAGCAAAAATTAATATAAGACCCGGTCTTATTTTCGGGGAAACACGGTAGACATACATTTGAAAGAAAAATTGGGAAAGAAAAAGAAATTATTTCCAAATACGTTAAACAGACTTTCAGTGTTATTTGATAAAAAGAATTCTTGGCCCAATATTTCACAAACATTCTGTTGCTAAGTGAGATAGTTGTTAAGTGAGTTTTGTCCCATTCTATGACCTTACTTGCCACAGTTGTTCACTGCAATTCTTAAGTGAGTAACACGGTTGTTAAATGAATCTGATTTCCCCATTGACTTTGTTCACCAGACGGTCACAAAATGGGATCACATGACCCCGGAACATCGCAACCATCGTAAATATGAGTCAGTTGCTGAGCGTCTGAATTTTGATCGCCTGAGCTGAAATGGTCATAAGCGTGAAAAACAGTCATAACTTATTTGTTCCAGTGCTGTTGTAAACTTTGAGCAGTCGCTAAATGAACTGTTGTAAGTCACGGACTATCTGTATTACGGCATCCTTTGATTGACAGAAAATATTAGCTTTTCCAAAACAAACCTCCCATTTCCATTCTTTGGCACATGTAACATGACAATTTCTCTTCTTCGTTTCTTTATTATTAATCTGTTTGTTACCCTCCCAGGGTGTAGGTAGTTTTCAACTTACAACCGCAATTGGAACAGAACTTTCACTGCTAAGTGAGGAGGTTAAGTGAGTCACACCCAGTTTATGACGTTTTTACCATGGTTGTTAAGTGAATCACTACAACTGTTAAGTGAATCACAGGGTCATTAAGCGAATCCAGCTTCCTCTATCGACTTGGCTTGTCGAAAGCTGGCTGGGAAGGTCACAAATGGAGATCATGTGTCCCTGGGATGCTAAAACTGTCATAAATAGATACTGGTTGTCAAGCATCCAAATTTTGATCCCATGAACATGGGGACACTGTAACTCCTCCCCCCTTCCTCTCGTACCCCGTGGGTGGCTGTGGCTGAGCTGGGAGTGCGCACGCCCGGAGAGACCCTCCTTAAGCGAGCCACTGCCTGCCCCGAGAGCACCTTTCCTGAGCTTTGGCGCTCACTTGAGGAGGGTCTCCCCGCCCATGCGCAGCTCCCGACTCAGCCACAGCCGGCTGGGGCATCCTGAGAGGAGGAGGGGGAAGAGGGTCGCCGGAGAATGCAGGAGGGAAGCTGCCCTGTACCTGCCTTGCACATAAGGCAGCCTTCACTTCCTGCCACTTCAGTCTGGAGTCTCCCTGCGTGTACGAATGCTCCCGGCTCAGCCACAGCTGGCCAGGGAGTTACAAGAGGAAGGGGGAGGAGGAGGAGGATGGTCGCCTGAAGGGAGGGGGGAGACACACATACACACACAGAGAGAGAGAGAGACATACAGAGTGATACACAGAGAGGGAGTGAGAGAGGGGAAGAGAGGGAGAGACAGTGTTCAGCCCCAGCTATGCACCCCAAAGAACGCAGCACACACCAACTCTATACAAAGCTTATTTTACTCAAATAACTTAAGTCTTTATCATTCAAAGGCTGTTAATGAACTGTCTTAACAGCCTACCAGAATTCTAAGATAAGATAATCACAGTCTTACTAGAGTTGGCAGAAAGCCCAGAAGCAATTTTGCAGACGCGAAGGAGAGTGAACTGAAGTTGTTCTCTACAGCTTGTTGCAAGTGGCGTTCCTTCTTAAATAGGCTAAGGGAGTGGCCAATTAGCCCCAAGTCTTACTCTCGAGACCTCCTCCTGGGGAGCCACTCCTGCCTTTTGGCAGCTCTGCGCGCCCGTGCATCGAGAAGAGGCTCCTCCTCTTCGTCCTCTTCACTTAAAGGAGCTTCTGGAGGTTCTGAAGGCCCTGGCTGAATCCCTGCCTCTGGCACCACATCTTCTCCAGCCTCCTCACTGTCCGACTCGAGCGCCAGCTGCACAGGCTGCTGATGCAGCACCACACCAGCCTCCTCGTTGTCGGAATCAGCTACAATCCGCACAGGCCGCTGACGGGCCACAACACAGAGGGGGGAGAGAGGGGGAGAGAGACATAGAGAATAGTTTTGTGGCTGGGTAGGCGTGGCTAGGTGGGAGTGAGTGACATCGAGTTGGCCACGCCCACCCAGGTTTTGTGGCTCCTGGTGTGTTTTTTTTTTTTCTGTAGGAAACGGGTCCAAGTGGCTCTTTGAGTGTTTAAGGTTGCCGACCCCTGATTTAGACAAAACTCAACAGTAGGATAGCCTTTATTGTCATTGTACTTCATGTATACAACGAAATTGGTGAAACAGCGCTTTTTCGTGCGGCTGTTGATAAAAATAGGATCGCCAGCCGTGATCGCCAACGTCCGATAATGGATATGGCACAAGAAGAAGAGGAGAAAAAACAAACAAACAAACATCGGTCTTACTATAAAAACGGTGCAGGGAATAGTCACCCCAGCCATCACCCCATGTGTAATGGTGTCCGGCTTGTACGGATAACGGATGGAAGTGTCCTCACAGTAGAAACCTCGTTTGTAGGGAGAATTCACCAAGGTCAGGATGGCGAAAGGAAGTGAGGCTGCAAGAGAAGAAGAAAAAAAAAAAAAGACACAAGATTCAATAGGTCTCCTTGCCAACTCTGCCGTCACATCCATCCCTGCTCAGGCAAGCTACATAAATCAATATATTCTCCGCAACAGCTGTTTTTTGTTACCTGGACACAGGTTGTTTATGCACCAAAGAAACTGTCCTTCACACTTCCTGGCAGAGTTTAACCTTTCCATCTGCAAAACAACCCATTAAAATCTCTATGGAGATTCTCAGTCATCCAGATCATGGTTTGTCCAGAAGGTGATTTTTTTTCCCCCCCTCAAGAGGCAATTGGACTTTCTGGTTTTTCTTTGAAGATGTTTCGCTTCTCCTCCAAGAAGCTTCTTCAGTTCTGATTGGATGGTGGGGAAATGGAAGGATTTATACTCCTTGCAGACAGCTGGGCATTTGCATTCTTTGATGTTGGATAACCCTGTGTCTGAAGTGGTGTAGGGTTTCCTGCCTAAGCGAGGGGGTTGGACTAGAAGACCTCCAAGGTCCCTTCCAACTCTGTTATTCTATTCTATTCTATTTTAGAGGGCCGAGTCATTAAAACACACGAGTAGTCCCCAAAACCTCTTTTATTGCAACAGCTGTGAATTACGTTCGTTCACAGCTGAGTCCCAATTAGTTGCAAAAAGTCCTTCGGGATAATCACCAACCTTTATCTCCCTTGACAAGCTGTCAAAGACCTACTTGGCAAAGCCACACGGATTCCAGAATCAAACAGAGATGCAGACTGGGAACAGAATTAACAATGTTGCTTTCCTGCAAAGGGCCCAGTGCCTTTGCTCCTCTTTTAAGCCTTATGGGAGGAGCCAATCGTCTCCAGGCCTTACTCCTGAGTTGTCCCTTTAGTTTTAACTAATCGTGCCTTCTGGCAGCTCTGCGCATGTGTGCACTAGGAACAAGCTCCTCCTGTTCCGCTGTCTCTCTGCTGTCTGACTCTGGGGGCTCCGGAGTGCGCACATCACTCCCAGATGGCCCTGGCCCCATCTCTGCCTCCGACGCAGAGCCCTTATCCGGGCCTTCCCCAGACTCCAGGACTGGCCCATGTTCTTCCCCAGCCTCCTCACTGTCCGACTCTGCTGCCAGCTCCGCAGACTGCTGGCGGACCACAACAAGAAGTTCCATGAAGGCTCCATACCCATTTGCACCACTCAAGTGACCCTGAGGACACAGATGACCCGTTAGGTGACCCTAACGACCCGCTAAAAGAATGCAATTGACCAGCTGTCTGCAAGGAGTATAAATCCTTCCATTCTCAACCATCCAGTCAGAACTGAAGACTTTTCATGGATGAGAAGCGAAATGTCTTAAAAAAACAACCACCAGAAAGTCTTGAAAAAAACACTTTTGGGACAACCCATTAAAATAGTTTCGTCTTCTGGTTTAGGAGCGAGAGAAACTCTTCTGTGGAATTGAACCAGCTAAATCTGTTCTTGCAAAGAGAGGAAAAAAACATGTTTTTTTGCACACAAGGCTGTATAGGTAGTCTTGAAAGTAATATAAATATGGTCAAATATATAACATTCACAGTTTGTCTAGTTTCCCACCAGCAGTGGGTTTCATATTATGTTACTACCGGTTCGCCGTGTGCACCTGCTTTCTGCGTATTCTCCCGGCCTTCCGTGCGTGCGCTTCGTTCACGCACCTTCCACACATGGATCCAGGCTCAAAAACGTGGCTAAATAGGATTGCGTAGAGCCAGGGTAAGTGGGCGGGCCCACCCGCGATTTCCGCTACCGGTTCAGGTGAACTGGTCCAAACCGGCTGAATACTGCCTCTGTTTCCCACCCACTCACTAATATAGGTCATCCTTGACTTGAACTGAAAATTTCTGTTGCTGAGCGAGACATTTGTTAAAGTGAGTTTTGACCCATTTTACAATCTTCCTTGCCACAGTTGTTAAGTGAATCACTGCCATTGTTAAGTTAGTTGCACGGTTGTTAAATAAATCTGGCTTCTCACATTGATTTTGCTGGTCAGAAAGTTGCAAAAGGGATCACATGATCCCGGGATACTGGACCGTCATAAATATGGACCAGTTAGTATTTGAATTTTGATCATATAACCATGGAATACTGCAATGGTCGTAAGTGTGAAAAATGAACATAAGTGACTTTTTTTCAGGGCCACTGTAACTTTGGGCAGCCACTAAACAAACAGTTGTTGTTTTTTTAAGTTTTTTATTTTTTAGACAAACAAACATTTAATACATCAGTTTCCTCTTCCCTGTGACATCTCGGTGTTATCTTCCAAAGTTTCTTTCTTCTTCTTCTGATAGTTGTCATTACTTCTATCTGGATCCTTATCCAGTCCACAATACCAATTCATCACTAATATAATATTCAACTCATCACATATTTTTCCATACTTATATAATTAATCATTTATATCTCTTCTCCAACCAATAATAAAAATCATTCCATACTTTAAAATATTCTGAGACTTCTCTATCTTTAATCATCAGAGTTAATCTATTCATTTCTGCACAGTCTAAGATTTTTTTTTTTATTACTTCTTCTAAACAAACAGTTGTAAGTGGAGGATTATAATTTGGTAATTAAATCCAGGTAGTCCTCGACTTACAACAGTTCATTTAGTGACCGTTCGAAGTGACTTTGGGCCAGTCACTCTCTCTCGGCCCAACACACCTCACAAGGTTGTTGTTTTGGGGAGAGGAGGAGGAGGAGGAGGAAGATGTGTTTGGATACGTTTGCTACTTTGAGTTATGGTAAAAAAAATAAAGCCAGGATATCAATAAGAAACAAACATCATATTCCTTTCTTTTCAACCATAACTTACAATATTTTTAATGGTATAACAGAAACCAAACTGATCATATCTTCCACTGAAGTTTTTGGGAAGCTCAAATTCCAGAGAGCAACCTAGAATTATCCAAACAATTTCATCAAATATATTATGTTCTCAGCAACAACAAAAAAAATCCACATTGGTATAGTTTATGTAAAACTATTTAATTTTTTTCTGCCTAATCTGCCAATAATTCTAGGGACGAATGAGGAGATTTTTTCCATAATGTAACCCTTTTGATTGCCGGCCATGTGCAATTTTTTCCGTTTTTTTCTCTCTCCATCAAATCAAAACCTTTATAATGTCCTTTAAGCCAGAGAATGCTGCAGTTTCCCTTTGGATCGTATAAATTTTTAAAGCCGTTTTTGCTTCCATTCTGCTGTCACATTGACAAAAATTCCTCTTTTTTTCACCATTGTCGTCGTGTCTTGTGGCTTCTAAACAGAGAAAGACTCTAAACCTCGACTTAACAACAGTTCGTATAGAATAGAATAGAATAGAATAGAATAGAATAGAATAGAATAACAGAGTTGGAAGGGACCTTGGAGGTCTTCTAGTCCAACCCGCTGCCCAGGCAGGAAACCCTACACCACTTAGTGGCCGTTCAAAGTTACAATGGCACTGAAAAAGGTGACTTATGACCGTTTTTCATACTTACGACTGTTGCAGCATCCCCATGGTCATGTGATCAAAATTCAGATGCTTGGCAACTGACTCGTATTTATGACGGTTGCAGTGTCATGTGATCCCCCTTTGCGACCTTCTGACGGGTAAAATCAACGGGGGGAACCAGATTCACTTCACCACCGTGTGACTAACGGAACAACCGCAGTGATTCACTTAACCGCTGTGGCCAAAAAGGTCATACAACGGGACAAAATTTACTGTCTCACTTAGCAACAGAAATTCTGGGCTCCATTGGGGTCGTACGTCGAGGACTACCTGTACTATGTACCGATCTTGCTTTTTGCTCTTTATCGCTGTATTTAATGTTTTTTAAAAGTACTTTACGTGTTTTTATATTTATGGTTTTAATTGTAACCCGCCCAGAATCAGTTTGCCAAGTGAGATGGCAGCATAGAAATTTAATAAGTCTGATGTACAGGTAATAATCAATCAATCAATCAGAATAGAGTTGGAAGGGACTTTGGAGGTCCTCTAGTCCAACCCCCTGCTCAACTAGGGTACTCTATGCCATTTCAGGCAAGTGACTGTCCAGTCTCTTCTTAAAAAACCTCCAATGATGAAGCACCCACAACATCTGGTGGCAAACTGTTCCACTGGTTATTTGTCCTCACTGTCAGGACATTTCTCCTTAATTCCCGGTTGCTTCTCTCCTTGATTAGTTTCCATCCGTTGCTTCTTGCCCTGCCCTCAGGTGCTTTAACAATTTTTTTTTTTAAATTTAGACTTACAACATTTCATTTAGTGACTGTTCTGTGTCATTCAGCACTGAAAAAAAATTATTCATGACCAGTATCCCCATGATCAAAATTTGGATGCTTGGAAACCGGTTCATATTTATGACGGTTTCAGTGTCCTGGGGTTGTGTGATCACTCTTTTGCGACCTTCTCGGCTGGTTTCCAAGAAGCAGAGTTAAGCTAGATTCACTTAACAACTGTGGCCAAAAAAAAAAAAAGGTCATAAAACAGGGTGCAACTCTCGTTAAGAACTGTCTTGTTTAGCAACAGAAATGTGGGGCTCAATTGTGGTCATAAGTGGAGGACTACCTATAATTGTACAACAGCTCAAGATAGCAGACCAAAATGTTAAAAAAACAAAACAAAACCCCACACACAGGAGAAAAAATCCCCCTTTTCCTGAAAGCTAGGAAAGTCGGGGCCATGCAGACTTTTGCGGGGAAAATTGTGTTCCCAGAAAGCCGAAGTAGGTCACACAATAAATTAATCTTAATATTTGGCGAATAGCTTGGACAAGTCCCTGAAGTTTTCTTGGCATCATTTTGGGATGTTGTTTTCCTTTAACGTCTTTTTCCCAGGGCCGAGTGAGTGAGTGACTGGCCCAAGGTCACCCAGCTGGCTTCGTGCCTGAGGCAGAATTTGAACTCGCATCCTCCTGGTCTCTAGCCTGGGGCCTTTAATTACTGCACCAAACTGGTTCTCGGAGGGAAAAAAATGTAGGTTAATGATACATTTTCCTACATATTATTA